CAAATATTTTGTTCTTAATATTTTATATTGACCAATTTATTTACCTCCTAATTAGCTTATAAACATAATTAAAATATAATATTTTATTATAATATAAACAATTGTTAATTTTTCATTAGAGCTTGTTCAGGCATTATTATATTATAAGTCAAGTATTGTTTTATCTAATAGGATTTTGTGGTTTCGTTTGCGGCACTTCAGGTGAGTTGGAATTTAATTTACTTGTCTTCTAGTATTTCCTTGTCACTTATTTGGTTAAATGTGTACCACAAAGCCTAGTAGTAACACATTATACAACCGGTATGTTACACAATTAATTATTAATGCTATAATGCTATAATTGTTATTTTCGTAAAGATTACAGAATTACTAACATTTAACAAAAAAAAAAAAAATAAAAAACTTTAATGTTTGACTAATTAAATGCTAATGACTAAACCGTTTTACTATTATATTCATATTAAATAGACAAGTATTAAAGTTAAATGTCTTCCGTGTGCATTTTGTTAATATAAAATGTATAAATTATTGAAAAAAATTTAATTGTATTTAGTAATTTACGCATTTCACTGATCTGGTTAATTAATGTAAATGTAATGTTGAAGTATTTTTCTAAAGTATTTTTAATCTAAAAAAAAAAAAATACTTCTTATTAAAATACGAGTATATTGTAGGCGTTTTAAAATTATATTGTTGACAAGTCAAATATGAACCGAGGTTACAACGTTCACTTCGCGATAAAATATTAATTAAAAAAAAATTAGGTATAAACGTAAATACATACATCGTTTTATATTTTGAATTACCTATGTTAATCTTTGAGAAACACGTGATTTGGCTTATATTCTAAACGATATTAACAGTTCGTAAAATTATAAAAATGTATAACTTTTTAATTTGTTTATAATCATACAAATGAATTCATGATAATATTTATGTTTATTTATGATTTATTTCATAAAGCTATTCATTTTTATATCTAATTTTTATGTATTATGTTTATTGTTTATACGTATTGTATAATCACAGTCAATACACTTTAAAATCAATGTTTATAATTTAACTATCTAAACAGATTTTGTGCGATTCTTATTTTTTACGTTTTCTATATTAGTATCAAAATTGTATTATATTATTATTTATTTATTTATTTATTTATTTAGTATAAATAAACGGGCTTAACCCTTTTAATACAAATACTTCTATATGCGCACACATTAAATTATATATAACAATACGACATTACAACATATAATATACTCAGATAATATTATACTAACATAATGCAGTGTTAAGTTTAATACAATAAAACTTAAAAGGTGAAAAAAGGGTACTACAATAAGTTATCAAGCGAATAATAAATCACCTTTTTTATTAGTTTTGGAAATATATTTTACCACCTTAATTTTTAACACATTAAATTATTCAGTATTGTATAATGTATATATTCATATTTAGGGGCGTAGCTAAGATTTCATTATTTTTACGGTTTGAATAAATAGTGTGTCATACGAAATTGCTATTTCAGTAAAATGTATACTAATTATATACCTATATTATACACACCCTTGTTACGCCCCTGAATTGTAAATATAAACTATATATGCTATTTTAACTTAAAATTATGTTTTTAAAGAGGTAACATTTGTTTATTATTCTAATTTCCAAAGTCAATAATATACATGCATATCATTTTACTTATTCTAAAATACTATATAAACAAAAATCTTTGATTTTAAATGAAACACAAATATAAAATTAAATAATAAGGCATTCTTATTTAATTTTTGAGCTTTTACAATTTTGTTAAAAAAAAAAAAAAGCATCAGGAATTATTGATAACAAATGAATGTATAGTAATTAGCAAAAATGTAACTATTTTTTTATTAAACTCAATTTCAAACTTAAAGTTCACGAAAAGACTTGATTAATATAACTTTTGATAAAGATAAAATACATAATATCCGAAAGCATTTTCACGAATATGATTTTACAATTTAATATAACAGATTGTATATACTTTATAAAAATAAATATATATTAAAAAAACTGTAGATAAAATAGAACTAAAGTAATATAGTTATAACTAGCTTTTTTGAATTATTTATCATATAATAAACTTGCAATAATTATTAGTATTTTACAAACTATTGCAGTTTTTAGATTTTAAGTGAAACGATAATAATTGTATTCGTTTTTTTTTTTTTACATTTATGATTTGTGTCTGTCATCACCTTTTAAAATAGTAAAATAATTTCAACCTTCAACTTTTAGGGTAGTTTTTGGTACAACATATTATCTTTTTAATATTTTGTGTGGTGGAGGAAAGTTTAGGTGAATAATTAGTAAAAAATTCTTTGAACTTTTCAAAATAATCGAGAGAAAAAAATGCCACCAATTTTTTCCTGTATTATTTAAACATTGTATATTATTATGTTCATTAATCAGTATTAATCAACTGTTTATATTTATCTATTAACTTCAAAGTATTTTAATAAAGTTGGCTTCTATCGTAAGTGTAGATTTTTTGTTTATTATTTGAAATACAAATTAAATATATAGATGCTTAAGAAATATATATTAAATCATATAAAGTATCAAGAAAAGTTCTTCATTTATTGAATGAAATGATAATAAAAATATTTTAAAGAAATTAAAATAAAATAAAAAATTTACATATTTGAAATAAGTCATCATTGTGGTTAAAAAATATCGTTTGCTGCAATAAAATCTTTGGAAACTATTAGTACTGTAAACTCAAAGCAGTTGTTCTTGTCTATTGTACTTAAAGCATTTTGTTAATTGAATAGTAGTTTTAAGATCTATAAAGTGTGTATTAATCATTTTTATCGACTAAATATTAAGGCATTAAATAGGTACTTTTCCTTTAAACTTTAAAGTAAATATAATTTCAGAATTAACACATAAAATATTCAAAAACTGGAACTAATTGGTGTGGTTTATATTATATTTATATTAACAGTGATACAAAAATCAAAGGTAGATTAATATATAATAAATTGTATGTAGTTGGATAGATTCAATTTAAATGGGTTAATGTTATTAATATTTGAAAAATAAATTACAACACTTAACAACTTTGTAATTCGTTTATATGTTATGAATCTTTTAACATGATTGCTTTTTAAGAAATTAGTACCATCTTTAAAGCGATACAAGTTATTTAAGAACTAAAAGTTTATTTAAACGGCCGTGTAGTATTATGTTTTAAATAACTTAATTATTTACGTCGTGTAACACAATTTCTAAAATATTAGGTTTTTAGTAACCTATAATACAGTTCTAAGTGTTATATGATAATATTATTATACCCTATATTTTTATATTAAATTGTGTATTTAGTATTTAGTATTGATTAAGTTTTATATTGATCATTATTGACTGTATTCAATGATAAAATATAAAAAAGTTTAACTAAAAACAGTGACAGGTTTATTAGGTTCATGTTTGTTTAAGAATTCTGTAGGCTTGTTCACTAATTTTAAATTAAAAAAAAAAAAAATATGATACATTGCTATTACTTAATATTTTTAATAAGAACATCAATTGCAATGTACGAATATAATTAACTAATATCTAGACAGATAAATAATTATATTTTAGTAGCGAATAATAGGATGTATTGTTTATGATTATACTCATTTAAGTGTTTATATAGTTTGACTTAAAACAGTTAAAACAAACAGCTAGGGTAATGTATCTATATAATATACAAGTATATTATATATTATAATTTATGGCATGGTAATACCGTCAACTATTTATATATTTATACACGTAATCTTATCTTACATGTATCAATTTATTGTGTATTTTTTTAAGGTAACAAATAATGTGTGATTTTATATACTTTTAAATTATACACTAAGCAAAATAACTGCATCATTGCTTAAGGCTTAAAAAGAACTTGTTCGATATGAAAAATTGTAAAAAAAAACAATATAAATGTAGGTATTTTATAATTATATTTCATCATGGAAAATAATAATAGTTTTTGTATTGAAATATTTTTTGAAACCAAGTACCAGAAATACTATATTTATTTTACAACAACAGATTTTTATTTTTTTGTAAAGTCTTAAAATAAGTATTAAAAATACTTAAAGATAGGGATAGAAGTTTTTTTTTTTTAAATTTATAGTGTCAGTTTTTTGAATGTAAACAATTATATGAAAGCTCAAATATAAATGAGTTTATAATATGTTTTGGTTAAAAAACAAATGAGGTTTGTTTTACTTAATTCTCTTAGGTATATTATTTAAAGTTTTAATCTTAGAATATGCATTTATTTGCATAATTCTTAATATTTTTTAAGTAATTTTGTTCTCAATTTTTTATAAAATACAATATCTCTAATGGGAATTATTATTAAGTTTTTTTCATTTATTGAATTGTATTTGCTTTAAAACTTATAAACAAATGTTATACAGGTATTGGCTAAATAACATTAAATAAATATAATTAATATATTGTAGACTATACACATACTAGGTTTTAAGTAGGTATATTAAAAAATACCTTGATGTAAGATTCACATCGGTTTGAAACTTTCATTGTATTTTTAGAATCATTTAACGACGCTTGTTATCAATACACCAATTCAGCATACTGGTTTTTATAAGTAAATTTAATTTTAACATATTATAGCCTTATTTCAAAGTTAGTACACTCCAAAAATAGAACAACGTGTATCTTATTTTTCAAACGAAAATGTCCTTTGCACTTAATTGTTTTTACTTTATTAATCTTAACGTAACCTGTAGGATATAGCAACCAATCGAGTGTAGTTAAAATATAGCAAATTATAATGTAAGAGTTACATTATAATATTATACGAATGTGTAACTTAAATTTTCTGAAATCAATATCGAATTTACCACACATTGTCACATATATATTTTATATGTTATTTTGGAACATTCTTTTGAATACCTAGTAATTATCTACTCATAATATTAGGTAACCATTGCATGTTACAGGTGGCACAGTGATGTTGGGCGGCGTAGTTGGTAGGCATATGAGCATACGGCGTAGGGAGAGCTCCCCGTCCGTACCTCATCCAGGCGGCCCGGGGAGTCCCCGGTATAGAAGACGGAGACGAGCAGTAACTACTTCGGATCACAAGACATGTGCTCTCATACAGACAAGAATAAAACTTGGCGACATCATAATGTGAGTACTTGAAAATAATCATAAGAAATTAATTTATAAATAGTCAAAAATTAAAATGTTAGGGAATATTTATATTTGTAAAATAATTAGTAATTGCGTACCTATTATAGACTATCCAACGGAATATTATCAGTTTAAGTTCACTATACATATAAGTTTATATCTAATTTTATCGCTCGGATACCTAATGAAACAGGTGCAGTAGTTATGAATTTAAAATGTTACCACATACACCTATTAATTGAAAAACCTAGGTACTACCTAATTAAAAAAATATACTGTGTAAAATCCATAATACATAATACCTACCTATTCAAAAATAATTGCATAAAAGTCTTGAATTATAGTAATCTTAGTGAGGGTCAGATCATTCAATATTTATATGTACCTATTATACTTACTCTTAAGTATAATATGCTATAATAAGTTAATATTTTAATGACTATTTAGTTAAAGAAAAAAGGTTTTTAGTGTGCTATTTTACTATTTTTATTTTCATGAAATTGTATAACTTTCAGGATAGACAGAATTAGCTGATTCTTTTAGTAAATTTATACATATATATATATATATATATATATATATATATATATATATATGTATATTTTTTTTTTAACATAACATAATATAATTCCATTTTGAGATTATATTATATTTAAAAATTGTAAGAGTAGACATATTTTGAAAAAAACATGTACATAATACTATAGAATACGTAATAATTAAACTATATAAATTCATAGTATGAAAGTTTATAGTTTTATAATTAAATGCGGCTATTATGAAAAGGTAAAATTAACGTGATTAGAGATCAAAGTATGAGTATACTATTATTATATACCATGGTTTTTAGTTGAAACCAAATTTTTTATTAATAATTTTTTTTTGAGTTAATGATAAAACTAAACCCATTATTATATTGTGATATCCGTTACAATTATGATACTATTGTAGTAAAAAATATTATCGTATTACATCCATCATTTTAAGTATTAAGTAAATGTTTAAATGCTATGCATAAAATAAGATAGCTCATATATTGTATTTTTAAATTAAATTTTTTGTAAGTTTTGTATAATATAACTAATTATTATAAAAATTAATTACATCATATTATTATCATGTATATACTATAGAGTACTAGTAAACAATTAAATAAATTGAATGCATATTTTAATACTAATTGAGTATAATACATGAATATTATAGCATATTTATTTCATCTTCATAGTTTGAAATCAAAAACTTGACCATAACTATTGTATGTTTTATAATATTTAAAACAAATGCAATTTTATTGAAATAATTTTTTTCACCAGTAATAATTTGTTTTTAAAACATTTTTTTTTTAATTAAGTGTCAAAAAAATGTTTAAGATTATAAAATATTAAAACCGTGGAAAATTGGGTACTTTTTATTTTTCGTAAATATCTCTACAAACACTAAAATTGTTTCTAATTATTTTGTACGATGAATAAAATTGAAATTAAATAAAAAAACCTACAATGATCTATTAAAAAGAGTTAATAGAGGTTATCTTAAGTAGCACAATATATATATAAAAAAAAAATGTTTTAAATATCTATAGGTATAGTGTTACTAAATACATTTTTGATATATTATTTACAATTATATGTATTGATTATATGAAGCGATGAACCAAATATTTTTCAGTATATTTTTTTTTTAATTATCAATTTAATCATTTTTTTTTTTAAATTTAACTTTAAGAATCATGTATTGAAATATTTAGCATTTTGTTTCTAATCTATTAATAAAAACTTATTTTTTTTTTTACACGTGAACCTCCCTTTATTGAATATTAAGTTTTTTTGTTTTTAAAAATTTTGATTTTGTTATATGAATTTAAATTCGAACTAGTTTTTTTCAAATTATTTAACTATAATATACAAAGATTTGTAATTAAAAATAAATAATAATAGATTTATAAATGTGTGTTTTGATAATTTGAAAAATATTATTTTATGCAATGTATTTAAATTTTAATTTATAAAAATTATCCTAGTACAAAATACCTATTAATCATTTTGCTATATATTATATTTTATAATTTGTATAAAACCGTTACTAAAGAAAATTTACTATTATACAAAAATAATACTTTGTAACTATAACTTATACTACCTACTTATTTGAACATTAATATTTTCAAAAGCTTATCTAATTAACAGTTTAAAATATAAAAGATTGGATCTCATTAGAAAAATAATTTTTCATCACAACAGAATAATCTTTAAAGTTTAAATTGAAAAAATCTAATTGTACTAAAATATAGTCTTTAAATTCTATCGACAAAATTTTATTATTGAAGGGCAACTGAGCATTTTTGGTGAATCACTCTTGTGTATATTTTTTATATAATTATACTATTACAGAGTAGTCTTTCGTAGATATCGCTCTAGGTACCTACACAATTTTTTTTCGATACTCTTTAAAGTATAATATTATACAACATCTCATTGAAAAAATACCAAGTAAAATAAATTTTGTCTTGATTTTTAGTTACACATTAAATAAATACAATAATTGTTAAATAATTATTATAATAATTTTTTTGCGTATAACTGAGCACGACATCTGTTGGAAAATTCTTTTATTCAAAAAGAATATTATTAGTAATAGTTTATACTCTTGGTTGGTATTTTTGGCAATAGAGTGCGTTCATATATTAATATAAAATGTAACGAATATTCTACACCTAGATAGAGATACCAGTCTTGAAATTGATAGATCAAAAAAATTTTTGTCTCTAATAATAAATAAATCTTTAAATTATGTTTACTTAACCTAAGTAATATTAAGTATTTTTAAAATACTAATAATATGTAAATTGTACCAACGCTTACTATTTTCCAAATACATATTTTAATTTAGAAAATTATTAGTACATAAATATCGATTTATACAACAGATAATTGGTAAAAAAAATGATACATAACATAATATTCTAGTTGTTTACAAAATAATATTTATCGTAAAGAAATCGATAAAATGATTACATCGAATAAGGAAAAAAATAATAAAAATATTCTTCATTTTTAATATTTCGTTATAATTATATTACTCTTGTTTTATTACTACGATCGATATTTTTTTAGATACCGTGTAATCGGTTGATATACTCTTGAACAAAAAATAAAGTAATTATCTTATTTATGAGTATAATCATTTAATCATTATTATAACGACATTATAAGAGAAAAACAAAGAATACATTTATTATATCATTTAAAATTGTCTGGAATATTAATTGCTATTGTAAAATTCGTTTTATATGATATTTTCTATTGATCTTAATAATACACGAATTTTAAACGAATAATTTACCAATTATTATTAAAAACTTTGAATGAAACGAAATAAATTATGTATTTATACATAGATAAAATACTGTCAACGCACGTGCTACAAAAAAAAAAAATGCTACCATAATACTATGTTGATGATTATTTTTATTCAATATGATGAAATCTATATCAAAAAGTTATTCATTTTTAAATGTTAATAAAAAACCGAAACCTGTTTTTTTTTTTTACAAATGGGTAGATACCTACTTTATTAAAATAAAGTTCGTTACTTATAATATATTCTTATCATACACTAAATAACTTATATAGATTAATCAATTTTTAATGACTTGAATGTTATAAATTTCTGAACGTTGTTTCAGAGTTCGTAAAACGTGATATTTACTATATTTAACTTCGAATAATAAATATTTTACCAATTGTTATTTCAATATTACATCCCTTTGAAATGTGATTTTCGTAACATAAGAATTTCTAGTGATTCTCAAATTAATTAACATTTTGATTGTTTTAATACGATGTGTTTTACATGATTTTGAAATGTTGCCAATGCAATATAGTACCATAAATAGAATAAAAAACAATTTGAGCTAATAGTTATTACGCAATTCCTAACCCATGTGTGCTTAATATTGGTTGATTTCTTCATTGAAATACCTCTTAAAATAAAAATCATGTATATTTTTCAATTAATAAATAAGGAAATCTAAACATTTCCTAAAATCTAGCGTAATAATAGTTGACACAAAATAAATTAAATGCATTATATATAATTATGGTAAAAACCTTTTGTAACTACAACATACATTTAACACATGAATTTTATAACATATTATATTCACTTAAAATATAAAAAAAAAGATTATAGAATTTTATTAAAAATAAGGGGTTCGAATAAAAAATTTGAAAAAAATATAACTTTCATTAAATGCTTTTATTTTATATTACCCACATTTGTGTTAACAAATACGTGATTATAATTTAACAAAATATAAACTTATCCGAATAAATCAGTTTAAATTCTAATTTAATATAATCAGAATTTAAAACTAAATTTAGCTTTATTAACCGTTCAGGACATTGATGGGTACCATAGTTTTACTATTATAGGAGATAACTGTGCTAGGGTAACATATACATAATACAGTAGAATACCTTCTGCTTAAAATGTAAGTAAACTTATTTTACTATAACGGCGTAGTAAATATGTAACTTAATTACATTAGTGTAGATAATCATAATAATTTTGTCTTTGACAGTTTATGATATTATAATTTATAATGAATTTAAAAAAAAAATACATAGTTATTATTAAAACAAAATTACTCAGTATTTACTATTTTGTATTTCTGAATTTTTTCCATACTTATTATTTTATGAAATAGAGAATTTAAATCAGTTATAATTAATAACAATATTAAACTTCTTCAATCCCTCATCATTTTTTTTATTAAATTAACAATAAATCACTGAGCCAAATATTACATATATTTATAAATAAATTAAATGTGAATATAGTTTTTAATTTCTATTAAAAGTAACTTTTTAATAACTAGACGATATAATTTTTTTTACCTAAGTATAAATAATAGAATACAATCTCAATCTTAATATTATTATTTAAACTATAATACCGGACATTTGTTTTAACTGTCTAGCGTTTCATTGTAT